TTCTTCCCTCGAAGATGCGGAGTGTGAGAACTTCGGCGTCGGTCGTAGCCCCGGGGCGGACGAGATGCTGTTGCTGATCACGGCGGACGATCGGAAGATATAAGCGGCGGAGTCCACAGTTCCTTTGCGACGACACACCACAATAGAAGTCACTAGCTTTCGTGGAGTCGGAGGAGAGCCTCTCTTGACCTCGGATTTCGGATTTTTATAGTTTTTCTCTTCCACTATTCGGACTTCCGATTGGCCCTTCATTCCCTTTCTTGCTTCCCAATTGGTCTCTCTTTTGGTTTGGGATAAACTGAGACCGCCTCAGGTCACGGGAAAGGTCCGATTCCAGGTGTCTGCTCGACGCTGTTCTGTCGATTGTTGACAATATTGCAAGACTCGCGCTCATAATTTAACTCCGTTACTCGCGATTTCTGTCATCTGGGTACTCGAACGATCATATGCAATGATTTATCTCTCTTAAATCTTTCCGTCTTTTCAGAAATTGTTTCCCTAGATTGACTGTTTATGAGCGCGGGGGTCAAAGTTCTACCTGCATATGACCACTTGTTTCTGACTTATAACTTTTCATTCTGACATTGACAGTTAGTTTAACACGTGTTCGAGTAATCCGAGACTCGTTGTCTACATTTTGTGCCGCGTTGTTTAAATTATGGGATTTTCCTCTCCCTCTCATAATTAATCTATCGTTATTATTTAATCATAGGAATATCGCGATTTACATGATTCGGACCTCGGTTGGGTCTTCACATTAAGTACCTTAACAAAATGCATTTAGGACTCATGTTGTCCCTTTTCAGTTGTTATACAGTTGTTATACTATTCAAATAAATTGGTTAACTTAATAATTTCCTAATTATACAATATCTTAAATTTTATGTACTGTAAGTATAATGTGTAAGTAAAAAAATATATTTTTAATATTTCCATTTTTAATTATACATTTAAAAAATAAATAAAAATGTAATATAAACTGTTAATATATTTTATTTTCTTTTACAGAAATCTCTTCCTCTATTATGTATTTCTTCTCGTTATTATGCAGATAGTACTGTAAGTATATTATTTTTATTAGTTTATCAAAATAATATTAAAAATATGATTCACAGAATGTTTATAATTTCATATTGTTTTAACTAAAATATTTTTTTTAATATCTGTTTATCAGAATTTATTTATAGAAAAACCTGTAATTTTATAAATTTTCTGTGAATAAGAATCAAAATACATTAGCAAATATTAATTAGTAATTTGTTAAAATATAAATGAGATCATGAGATATTTATGTAGGATAAACATATATCTTCTAATATCATATTATTTTACTGTATATTAGTGAAAAATATTTTCAAATGAAGTCATCATTTGAAACAAAACTTAAAGATAAAAGTTTATGTAAAATTTATTTAAAAGTTTAATTGAATTATATTAACTTTTATCATTTAGTTCTGACACATTACTGATATTTTTTACATTAACTATTATATAAAAATAGTCAATGGTAAATTGCATATTAAAAATATGTAAATACAAATGATTTGGTCATAACCAATGAATCAACAAGCACACAAAACACAAGCTTGTAACAACAGATTGTGAAGACAAAATTTTTGCATTCTTCAGTATATTTTTAATATGTAAAATATTGTCAATCATTTTTAATGAACTATTTGTTTTAATTTATGGCATCATCACCTGATGACTTTTTAAACCAATTTACTTTTTTCTACAGAGGCGTAGTCTCAAATTAAAAGTCATTTCTGTAATTGAAGATTGTATGTTTGTTGCTTTGTTGCTGGTGTTGTGTAATGATTTTTTTGTATTCTTCAGTATATTTGAGGCAGAGAGTTAGTGAAGTCTGTTTTATATGGCTTATAGAATTGTGTTTGTTCTTAAAATCTTATTGATTTTGATTAAACTTTGCCATGTTTTATTAATTGCGGCAAGAAATCAAAAATGTAATAAAAACAGGGGGCTGTATGACTGTTTTTGTTATATAAGGTCATAGCGTGAGCACATTCAACAAAGCAATATTGTGCAACTTTGTCATGCAATGTTCCACGATCATTAACTTGGGCTTATAAAATGGAGTTCATTCTCAAAATTTAATGGGCCAATTTTGATAAAACTTTCCCATTTTCTATTAATTGTGATGAGGAATCCAAAAATGTAATAAGGGTCCAATTGAATGTAAAAAATAGGTCCACAACTTAGTTTTTGATGTACTGTACATAGGTAGCCTATTAAAGCAGGGTTCCTCAGTGGGGTTGGTTGGTTTTGACCCTTTAGGAGCTGATGAAAGTTTGAGGAGGTTGCCAAAACTTTGTAAATTTTAAAAAGTTATTTAAAATTTTACATTTATTTTTGCTCTTAAATAAACGTAGAAAGATGTCTTTTAAAAATTATGTAGAATTTTATTTACTTATTGGCATATATATTATATTAATTGAGCTATGGCATATATATTATACAATATACTAGAAATTCTTCTGTCAAGTATGACTGAATATTTTTTATGAGAAAGTGGAGATTGAAGAATTGAAAACAGCTTCAAGTTGAGCTTGATGATGTGATGCTGTTTCTGCAATCCTTGACAAAGCCATTCTTATTTGATGTTGCCAGAGCCATAACTAGCCATTCCTGTGCCCTGTGCAAGAATTTGCATTTAGGCCCCTTAATTTATTTGGTTTTGGGAAAATAATAAAACAAATACATTACAATAGATTTTTAATAAGATTTATTTTAATTGAATTTTTCTGACTTTCATTTCAGCAAATTCATTAATTACACCATCATAATTAATATTTTTAACGATATTGTATTCTATTGAAATAATAGAAATATTGGATAATCGTTCTTGTCCGATAGTTGATCTTAAATAATTTTTTATTAAGTTTAACTTGCTAAAACTTCTCTCGCACGAAGCAATAGAAACGGGAAGAGTTAGAAATATTCGAAGAGCGACATTGATATTTGGGTAAGACTCAATTAAACCAAAATCATGAAGAGCCTGTAGAATATTAAGCGGAGATGCAGTTTCTATATTTTGTATAAGAGTCGTTACTTCAAAATTAAAACTTTCAATTTCACTTGTGAATTCGTACTTTTTTAAATCTTTGCTATATTTAATAGCGAGATCTGCAGCCGATTTTTTTAAATCAGCAAACTCATGCATTGTAAAGACCAGCCACAGCGAAAGCAAAAATCGTCACAGATAGTTTTCATTTTTTCATAACGCCAATCTATTTGACACAATAGAGTGTCAAGAACACTGTAAATTTGTATTTTAAATAATTTTTCGGGTGTCAAGTTACTTCCTTCATCTGGTGTTTTATCTATTTCCATTATCTTAACTCTTTTTTTTCGTTTATTAAGAAATCCCTTTTCTATACTTTTTGGTTTGTTTTAAGAATATGATCAATAATAGCATCTGTTAATATTGTTGGCCATAAAGCTATATCATTTATTACTTCCATGTATCTATATATGTCAAAACGTTTTTTTTTTTTTTTATTTCTATCTTCTGCGTTTTCACAATTCCTTTTTTCAGTAGCATTTTAAAGACTGCGGGAGCTCCTTCGGGCCCTACACGCCTGCATAGTTTGCTTACTGCTTAATCCGCCGTTCAGGTATGAACGGCAGATACCACATATGCATACCACTATAAAGCAAAAATTGATGTCAGAATTTCTGCATGCCTTTTACAACCTCGAAACTAAGATTTTATTCGGGAGTTACTGTTTTCAATTTAGTAATTTAAAAAAATCCTTGGGCAGATTTATTTTTGTTACAAAATGTTACCTTTACAGATTTCTAGCTCTGCACACTGTAGAAAAATCTAGAAAAATAGTTTGTATATTGTAATAACATTAGTAGTTGCCAGAAAGCTCTATAAAGTAGAGAAAAATCTGTAAATTTGAAAACTATAAACATAAATTTAAATTTCTCAAAAAATAAATTAAAAAAATATCAAAAGTCGCTACTTTTGGCTGATTTGTCTGAGGTCTCCGCTACCTCACTACATCCCTCTAAAAGTCGCCACAGTTGGGAACACTGGTGAGCAGACATCTAGGGTCTAAGTNATGTAATTTTAGATTGCTTGCTTCTAGTTAAAAGATCTTTATAAATTTTCTTATATGGTGCTAAGCACTTATGGAATAAGGGAAAAACATCTGGCAAAAGTGAAACAAGTTTCGAGAAGGACCATTCTGGCTAGAAAGCAGAAGCGTCGAGATCTGGCAAAAGTGAAACAAGTTTCGAGAAGGACCATGTGTACGGACAAAAGGCGAGAAAAGAAAATTTACATACTGAAGTACTAATAGTTCACAAAAATAATAATTTTCGTGAACTATTAGTACATAAGTATGTAAAAATTTATTACATTTCATGTTGTATGAGGGTTTACCCAATTCTCGAATCATGTCAGAGTGAATCCATGCTATAACAGTATAGTGTTATACGGGGATGGTACCATCTCTCGAACCATGTTAGGGTGAATCCATGCTATAGAAGTGCCGTGTTATACAGGGATTACCTGTATATTAAAATTAATAGTTTAAAATATGTAAATATCTATAACTGTTATACAGGGGCGCCGCTAGCTGTTTGAACGCCCGTGTGCAATACCGATTATGCCGCCCCCTGTTTACGACTACCTAGGCTGAGCTTGCCAGTAAGGCTCTTTAGTGTTGTATCATAAGGGTGTGAAAAAAGAAAAGAAATACTTTATAAAGAAAAACTATTTATTATTACTAAGTTATTTTTGTTTACTTAAGTGTAAAACCATATAAATATTTATTTTACAGAAATTTAACTTTTCTTGCCTTTATGTTTGCGAAATCTGCTATCAATTTTCTTGTATCCAAGCTAAGATTTCGTGTTCAATTGAAACTATAGCTAAATTACTCAGTCTTTGCTGGTACATTGTTGATCTTAAATAGTTTTTTATAATTTTTAACTTTGAAAAAACCTTTCACCAAATGCAACTGTAACCGGCAATGTAAGTAATATTCTTAGTGCTATTGCTGTGTTAGGAAATGTTGATATCAAGTCATTAATAAAAAGATATTGTAATAGGGTTTGTGGATCATTAGACTGGTTTTCTGGAAAATGCAACTTTAAAGTATAGATTTCAATCATACAAATCAATACCGTCAATGTCTGTTTCACTACTCGAATCGTCTTTAAGCTTCAGATTTAAATGCTAACCAAGTTAAAATATGATTAATTATACTTAGACCCATGTCAGAAAAATTATTAACAAAATAATTGCAATTTGATATGCGATAGAACTGTTCGAATGC